CTTTGCCCAGGTCCATTGTACATGAAAAAAAATCTCCTGAAAATATGCCCTACAGTGTTTTTAGGAACAAACAATAATATAAGTTCCTGCCTTATTTTCGGGGAAATACGGAATTCATTCCCTGACTGGCAGGAGACTTTGTACTTTTCTCCCTCTGTGACAAGATGTGTGAGCCTGAGCCTCTCTCCCAGCCTACACCTGGGAGAGGGGATGGCAGGGGTTGGTACCACAGCTGTGCTTCTCACTCAGTATTACACTTTTTAAATTATGTTTTCATGCCACCCTTTGTCTGAGAAGCTCATGATTCTTTTTCCTGCTCAAGAGCTCAGAAAATTACGTTTTAAAAGAAACTCCTTCGTTATGTCTTGGCAGGCAGGTCACCAGCATCGTTACCGTTTTTCCTGTCACACAAGTAATTCAATATTCTTCCTTTTCCTATTTTATCCTTAACACAACCGTCTTGCAGGGGAAGTTACAATGAAATACAGTATGTAGGATCTGGCTGAAGGGTACTCAATGGGCCTCGTAGCTAAGGGAGGGTTAGAAAGTAGGTCTCTCTGACACTATTTTAACCACTAACCACTATACCACATAGCACAGTATCATTTCAGAAAAATCCTCAGCTCTTACCACAGGAGAAAGGCTGTATTTTCTCTCATCATCTGTCCAAGCATCATAAAACAGTGGGCAAGATTTGTTCTGGCAGTCCAGAATTTGTAGGGCTTGTGCTTTTAAACATTGCTACCACCTGCCCATCCAAAAAGGCCGTATCATTGTGGTTTCTCTTTCCTGGCTTGATGATAAGAAATTTCTTCTTTCTGTTGTTGACTCCTTCTCAGCTTTCTCCTCTTTCTGGTGTTCTCAAATCTCCCCCCCACACACACACACAACATCTCGTTTTGCTTGTGTTCTTTCTTCATTATCCTCCTCTTCCTGTTGCACTCCCTTTGTTCATTTGAGTCTTTGGGTTTCTTCCTCTTAGTTTTTCTTCTCCCCTTCTTTCCTTTTTATTGTTTTGTCCAGCAGATCTCAGTTCTTTCTCTTAGATGTTATTCTGTTTTCCCTCTTGCTGTTTCCTTTTTCTGGAACTCATCCACCACCTGCCTTGCATGTTTTCAGGCAGCATTTGAAAATCTGTCTCTTTTGTTTAGCCTTTAATGTCCAACCTCTACCTCATCTTCTTGGTGTTCCTTTGGTGTCCTTTCCACTTTCCTTGTGGTTTCATGTTGAAGAGTTTTTGTTTTTAAAATAGTAAACGTAAAGACTGAATTTGTTTTGAAATGAATCCCTCTACATGGCCTAGCTGAAGTTTGGTATTTAAGAAACAACCTTCTGGCTGAGAGATACAGGAGAAGCTTGGAGGAATATAAGCAGTAATACAAGGTTTTTTTCCAGGTAGCTGAGCAGTTTATTTTCTTTTTTGTGCCCAGCCTGGAGTTTATATTTACTTCAGGCCATTGAAATATCCATTTCATTAGGCATCCTTCAGTCTCGAAAGACTGTGGTAACATGCTCTGTATGGAGGACTTGGAACAGCATCTAGCGTGGCTGAGAAGGCCAATTCGAGAGTGACAATCCCTTCCACACTGAAGATAACCGGTAACTGCTACTTCCCATGTTGTTTCAACGCTGTATGCGAAGCTGGAGTGTCCTCTCCAGAGCACAAGGCCTGGGTAAAATAATATGGAGGATAGGCTGTTACCCAAACAGCAAATCCCCCCTCTCCACATCGCTGAAATAGTCCAGTGGAAAGGCAAAAGCCAATACAACTGGTTCCAGCGATGTCGCAGGAGTTGGCAGAACGAAACAAACTGCCTCCGGGACTCTAGCTTCAGATTTTGCCTCTAAGTTAACTCCTGAAGCCTTTTCCATAAGTGGATATAGCCACAAGGCAGTGGAGGTTTGAAATCGGAGTTTTCCTTCTCTTAGATGGGCTACCTTCCAGGGCTGACGAACCCCACCTACCAGGCCTGCTCTCTGATTGAAATCCTGAACACATTTACTAAATAATAAATCCTACTGAACATCATCTTATTTACTTTTGAGCAAAACTACTTAGGATAGTTCTTTTGAACTCTCACGTGCTGCTCACACAGGGAGGGCAGTCAAAGACCTTTCACCTATCTATCACCATGACAGGTCACATCGCCCACTTATCCTAAGTAGAGTAAAAATGCAGACAGCTGTGTTGGTCCATAAACTAGCAGTTTTTGTCTCCACCAGGGACAGGTCATTTGTGAAGGTAATAGATCTTAATTGAAAGAGAAGCTACCACAGTGTAGTTTGGATTATAACAGATGAGTCTCATATCAACACATAGTTCCTGGGGAAACCCATCTTTTCTCCAGCCGTCGTGATGATGGCAGCTAAGCTAGGAGGATGGAATCCAGGTCTTAGACGTCCGTGTAGCTATGCCTTTGTTTTGGAGCTGGCAGTCCTAATTTTGTATAGCAGATGATATTAGCTGTTTGTATACTTTTTGGCTTCTGTACATTTGTACTAGTATAAACATATGACCTAACTCTATGCGACGTCTCTGCCAAGTATTTATATACTCGGCACTGTTATGCATCCTATTTGCAGCAGCAGAATGTCGTGCACATTTCCACATTTCATGCCAATTTCATGCGAATGAATCCCTGTGTTAAGCAGGGGTTACTGCTAAGTGTGCTTAGAACTGCATCTTAAACATTACAGTTCTTTATATGTCTATTCAGAAATGAGTTCAGCAGGGCGTACTCTCAAGTGAGTGTGTATATACCCAGTGTGGTGTATTGGATGGAGTTGGGAACTAGGATTCAGGAGACTAGATTCAAATTCTTCCTCAGCTATGGACATGTAGTGGGTGGGGGGTAGAACTGGTAAATAAATAGTAATAACAACAGTGTGCCATCAAGTCAACTGTGATTGATGGTGGCCTTTTTCAGAGTTTTTGAGGTAGAAAGTACTCAGAAGCGGTTTTCCATTTCTTTCTTCTGGGGACATCTCGGGATTGTGCTACTGTGCCCAAGGCTACCCAGGCTAGGTTTTCTGTGATGCACAGTAAGGAACTGAATTTAGGTTTAGGGTTTGAGTAGGACTGCACGTAACACACACACGTGTGTCTCTACAGGACTGCAGCCTGCGTGAAATGTCTATGAAGTGACACTCTGTTTCTGTGGAGTGTCTGCCTGTCTAGCCATCTTATTTATTTTGAAGGCTGCTTTTTAGGCCAAAGCTTTCTCAATATATAACAATGAGTTGCTTATATAACAAAAAATAATTCTATAAAAATGCTATAAAGGGCAAAGTTACAATAGTAGCTGCGACATTTCAATAGCCAGCACCACCTTCATTTTAATTTAAAGTTTACATGAATAATCTGAAACTGAGTTTTAAACAATAACTGTGAGTGGGCAAGCTTTCAGATGTGGCACTGCAGCTCACACCATCTCTGTAGGTAGCGTAACAATTGGTGAGGAAATCTAGGAGCTACAGTAGTACATTGAGTCCACTGAGAACATTTGGGTGGCTTTCCTTTGCCTGTCACCTGAACTGGATTCTAGGTTGCGCTCCTTCTCCTCCTTCAAAATAACCAAAACAAAAAACAAAAAAACAAAAAACCCGAACTGGATTTTAGGTTGCGATCCTTCTCCTCCTTCAAAATAACAAAACAAAAAAAAACCCTGCAGGCAGAGGCTGAAACTGTCTGAAGGGAAGACGCTTCTGAAGTCCTCTCTCATGACCTCAATGTGTGTTGTTTTTCCCACACTACCAGAAGGGCTAGGCCTATCATTAGGTTGGGGTGAGGCAGCTGCCCCAGGCATCAGGTGCTGGGGTACCATTAAAAGGCAGCATAGGATGTACTCTTACTTTATATTTTTATCACGGTGAGGCGAGGTGAGAGTGGGATGCACAACTATTCACTTTTATCTGAATGAACTTAATATCGCTGATCCTCTTTGATTATTTCCTGTTGTTCAGTCCCCTTCTACAAAACATTAAATTAATGCACGGGCATTCCAATTCACATGTTTACATAAAAGCAAATGCTGGCTTCTGAACAAGCCTGGAAGATCGAGCTATCTTCTGTGGAAATAAGCACCTGTGTGTAAATAGATTTACATAATTAACTTCGAGGGCAGCCGCTGGATTGGTTGCCAGTTTTGAAAAACTCATTGTTGCATTTTCCTCAGTCCCATGAAACATCAGAGCTGTTTGTTTGTTTGTTTGTTCTCTGAATACCTGGCGTATATCTGCATTACATAGTTATGGCAGTTTGATATCCATTTAAATGCAATTTTAATTGGTATCTTATGGAATCTTGGGACTTAGTGTGTTGAGGAGTCCCTCTTATGGAGTTCTAGAGTGCTTCCCAATAGTGAATTGAGAGCATTTTTTTTCAACAGTCTATAAATTTCGTGTTGCATAAGACAGAGTATGGTAGTTAAAGTGATATCAAACGACTGTGTTATGCAGATATACACTTGGTCTAGCTTATATTTCAGTGGAACTGGGACCTAACAAAACAGGAATAGGACATTTGGGCTCTCTAGATGTTGCTGAACTACACTTTCCATCTTTCTTCATAATGAACCAAACTTTTTGCAGCAGAAGGATATCAGAATCCAAGAATATCTGGAAGGGTTCAGATGTTCCACAGCCTTCTAACAGAGAATAACAACCATTGACTGCCTCTGGAATTATTTAGGTTTGCAGACATGTATGGAAGTGTATGAACTAATAATAATTATGTGCCATCAAGATTATATTGGTTTCATGTAAACTTCATAAGGTTTTCTGGGTTTATGATATTCAGCAGTTTGCCCGAGGCCTCAAAGGTAGTGGAACATGTAATCCTATCAGCCACAACTGCTCTGGATGATCTCAGCTGGTCTCTCTTCTAGTAGGTGCTCCTGATTCCTGGCTCCACTGCTAAGAGCTCCAACATACTGAGCTATACCAGAAATATGTATGTGCTAAACAGGTTATAATAAGTAACGATGGTCCTATTTGTTTAGGTTTATCTGAATGGCTCCATGACACAGGTCTATAGCACGGTCCCCACTGGCCAGCGCTCTCCAGTCAACCCAGACCTCCTGCTAGATGTTAGTGGGGCCCACCTATATGTGATGACTTCATCGCAGGTGAGTCACCATGGGTCTTAATGTCTCCCTCTCCTTACTACCTTCAGCACTGCTCTTTGTCATCTTCAGTTTGGCTGGGTGAAGGATGCAGGATCTTCACTATGTCTGGTTTCATGGGAAACTGGTTGGTTTTTTGCTGTTTTTCCCCACCTATGTGGAATTACTTTTGATGGGGAAAATGTACCAAGTGGCTCTGTCTGGTCACTTGCATTTCTGTGGACTTCAGCAGGAATTGGGAATGTGTGGACCTCCAGATGTTTTTGGGCTGCAGCTCTCTTCAGTCCTAGCCAGCCTTCAGTGCTGAGGGGTGATGAGAGCAGCCGTTCAGCAATATCTTGACAAGTGCACATTCCATATCCCTGCTTTACAGGGTTCAGATCTATTGTTCAAAACCAACAGAGTTTGCCGAATTCTATTGCATGGTCTTTTCTTCCTTTCCTGTGCAGGATATTGATGGGTTTGTATTGACTGGAGGTAGAAGAGAAGACCCTCTGTAGAGGCCTGGGTGTGTCAGGTCTCACCATTATATTAGCCTCACAAATCTTGCCACCCCCAACTTTTGCCATTATTTCTTCATTACTGTCTTTCTTCTGCACCTGCAAAATTCTGAATTCTACCCAAAAGCAAACAGAAAAACCCAAGATTGACTTTATGGTAAATCTGCAGTTTACACAGTTAATCACTGGAAAAAGTAAATCAGATCACCGTAGATTCTGTGGTGATTTCTGTTTTCAGTATAAAATACAACTTTTCTTTTTGCTTGAAGACAAAAGGAACTATCTACTAATTACTGACTTTCTTTCCAACCTAGGTCTCTAAGATTCCAGTTTCTGAATGCTCTAATTCCCTGGACTGTGCCTCATGTCTGCATATCCGAGATCCCTTTTGTGGGTGGTGTGTCCTGCAGAGCAGGTGAGTGCAGCCATGTAGTTGTAAATTTGGAATTGCACATGGTCATTATGAAAGTCTCCACAGCAAATCCCCCTTATTAGAGATATTATCATTCTGTTTGTAAGAGAGCCCAAAACTGTAGGCAAGTGGATCAGACTGTCTCGATAAGTGAGGAGCAGGGCTTTTGCAAAGTTGATGGCTGAGTTGTCTATTCAAAACCAAAGCAGTACGAATTGTTTGGATGACAACAAGATTAGCTTGTAACAGTGTGCAGTTCCTTGGAAAATCCATTTCTCTCCCCGCTACTCTGAGGATGGCAGCTAAACATAGAGGAAACAGGTAAACCTGAGGGGAGTAGCAGATTAGAACTGCTGGATAGCTCAGTGGTTTAGGCATCTGGCTTCAGAGCCGGAGGATGGGAGTTCAATTCCCCACTGCACCTCCTTGATGGGCTGAATTTGATGATCCATATGGTCCTTTCCAGCTCTGCACTTCAAAGATGATGGTGATATCATGGGTCCCACCTATTCAGAAGGTGTGGAGGCTTTCACCAGGCATACCCTGGCCCCACTACACCACTGGGTGCGTGGCTATTAAGGGAACAGTGTGGATGTGAAGGAAAAGAAAGGGTTTGTGCTCTTTTTCTCCATCTCTAACATGACTGGCTGATTGGCAGGTGCACCCGTAAGTTGGAATGTGAACGCCATGAGATATCCAATCACTGGCTGTGGAGCTACGGAACTGAGAGCCAGTGTCTGAGAGTGGAACAAATGTTGCCAGCCAATCAGAGTCGAGGAGAACAGACCAAGGTGAATAAAGATGGAAGGATGAGATATGGATTTATTGTGATTTAAGGGAGAGATGGAGCACTACCTGCTTGAAAGCTAGATTTAGCCCAACTTGGGTCCATATGTGTCCTCAAGCATCTTCTGCTATAAAGGTGGGGAACAGGTGGCCTTCCAGAAGTTGCACCTCCAGTGGCGCATGGCAATGGAAGTTACAGTCCAACAACATCTGGAAAGCTGTACATTTCCCATCCTTGTTCTTACATTAATCTTTTTAAAGCCTGGGAAAGTGTTGCATGTCATTTAACTTGGAAGAGGATGTATTGGGGTTACCTCTTAGTAGACATACATAGAATTGAATGTGTTTCATTATGCTTGGTGGACAAATTGGTCACAATTATGTTTGGTTGGCCCACTTTGCTTTGTTTTCACCCACTGCCAGAATTCAGCCCCCAAGACCATTACCAAATAGAAATTTATCCCCTTGGGCTAAAAAAGGATTACCACCTGCAATCTGTGCCAGACTCATCCATTGCCCATTTAATATTACCTATGCAACTATGAAGTCTGTGCAAAGAAAGGGGAAGGGCTTGGGAAGTTAGACTTGTCCTCCCTTTTAATTGGCAACAATTAAAGACCTATTTTTAGGGAGCTTTTATAAGCTGAGTCTCTCTTGGATGATGGGCATGTGTTCTTTTAAGTGTTTTTTAATAAAATGTTTGGAAAATCTTTTTAATTATTATGTTATGCATGATTGTTTTTAACTCTGTCATTCATTGTAGTAGTAGCCTAACTTGTTTTAAACATTGTGTGCCGCCTTGGGTCCATTCACAAGGAGAAGATGGGCCTAGAAATTAAACAAGCAAGCAAGGTCTTCACTGGCTCCTCAGAATTAATTAACGCAAAATGTATAACCTGCTTTTCCATCCAAAGTAGCCCACTTGGTAAATCTAAAATATAATCACCAAGATGTGAAACCACATAAAAAGTAGTCATCAGAAATATATGTCTCCCGCCCTAACTAGGTCTCTATGCTGGTCCCTCGTCTGCCTGGACTAGCCGAAGGAGAACACTACCATTGTGCCTTTGGTACCCAAGACAGCCCAGCCCAGCTAGAAGACTCCTGGGTTCACTGCCTCTCCCCTGTTCCCCAGCAGGTGCCACCCACCCAAGAGGGCAAAGGTGAGCATGAGAAGTATCTATGACACTGGGCTTAGAGTTGCTCGTTGCCCCTAGCTTAAGAGCAGTAGAAAAATAAATAGCTTAAAAAAGCCTTCTAGCCTGGAGGATTCTGCATATTGTAACCCTAAAAATGAAATTTTTTAAAGCTCTGTGTTTGCTGCCAAAAGTAATGTATTTCCTGTGGGAAATGGATGCTGTGACCAATATAGTTTAGAAGCGTGATCTCGATCAGGCCCCACCTGACTCCTCTAACACTGCAGGAAGGACTGCTTCTGCTAGGGTGGAAAGGACGGCTTGTCCGTCAAAATGAAAGTGGCCATTGTGATAAGAAAAAAATGTGTCGTTTGGCCCTCATTCCTTCCAGATGAGTTAATCCGACATTTGCTCTAAGTGAGGTTACCCACATTTCAGCTAGCCCTTGCTTCTGTGCCTTGTAACTCCTCCTTGCAACAAGTACAGGATTAAAACATATTCCATGCCTCCAAATGCAATGTCGACACCAGCCCTTTGGAGTGGACACCTGGGGCCCTGCAAACGAGAAGACCCCCAAGTAGTGCCACAGAGATGGTAGCAGCAGTGGTGAAAGACTCTGTTACCAACAAATGGTGTATCCAGCGTGATGGGGGGCTGCCATGGAATCACCTTGCTTAGAACCCTCCCCTTCAGCATGCCATTGCTACTCCAAGAAGTGGCCGAAATCTAATAGTAGGTTACAACAAGAGTAGACCCATTGAATCCTTGGGGATGTACTGAATCAACTCCTCCGTAAGTTCCATTGATTCAAAGGGCCTGCTCTATTTGTGACATATTACTAAATTTCAGCCATTATTTCATGCTGAATATCTGCAGCTCAGATTGCTATTTGAAGCGGTCCAGTAACTGCCATTTGAAAAGTTGGCAGGGAACCATTTATTCCTTGCTGGTTTAATTCTGTGCTCCGTATCACTCCTAAGAGATTAGAATTGTCAAATGACAGGGGTGTGCAAAAACTGAGGGGAAAAAACCAGTCTTGAGTACTCTTGCAGGCAAAAGTATTTACCTTGGCTAGTGTCTGTTGTTACGGAATCGTGGCCTGAATGCTCAGTTTCATATATGGCTCTTCCTTCCCCTCTGCTTGCACAAAAGGAGTCCAGAAACCTCTGTTGTCTCCAATGGGGCAATCTCTGGGTTCCGTAACTGAAATTAAGGAGCATCAGGAAAAATCTGGAGCATTGTCCCTGGGGAGCCCTTATGCTCCATGTTTGCCACCAGGATTCCAGCCCTTATGTTTGTCATATAGCTCAGTGGGCTGGCATGTCTGGGGTCAAGAGTTTGAATCCCCACTGTGCCTCCTGAGAGAAGGGTCTGATGAAATCACCCAAAACCTGTGTGACTGGTGGGGTTTCACGTCCTGCTACCTAGGCAGGCCTTGGCAACCTGCAGATCCTTGAGTGCAACCAGAGGAAGGGACTGAGAAACCAGTTTTGAGTAGTTGTACATAAGAAGCCTTGGGAGGATGGCTATAAGTCAGGATCAACTTGGTGGTGCGTAGTAGTAGTAGTAGTAGTAGTAG